AATTTTATTTAATATTCAAATCTCTGGGCTTACGAGCTAACATGCACTGCTTATTACCCCTTTGGAATGAGTATTGGTATTCCTGAATGGTCCTTCTCTTCTTCCCTTCCTCCCTAGTCCTTACCTCCATTTTATCATCTCTGAGTTTCTCAGTTTTATCTTTCAGTGGTCCCAAAGTAAAAATGAGGTTAAGAGTTGGTCCAGGGGGCTGGAGAGATGGCTCAGAGGTTAAGAGCATTGGCTGCTCTTCCAAAGGTTCTGAGTTCAATTCCCAGCAACCACATGGTGGCTCACAACCATCTGTTATGAGATCTGGTTCCCTCTTCTGGCCTGTCTGGCATGTAAGCAGGCACAACACTGTACATATAATAAATAAATAAATCTTTTTTTTTTTTTTTTTAAAAGAGTTGGTCCAGAAGAAGCATTTCCTCAAGTGAGCAGAGGGCATGGCCAGTCTTGTGTTGGCCCCGGTGCTGAGACAGTCAGCTAGTCACTATGCTCGCTTGAGTAGTCCCTCCTCTTTGGAATTTGCTTCTCTTCTCGGTTCACAGAAGCCCAGGTCCCTGCCTCTTGGGACACAGTTCAATCTTTATCTACTTGGTCAGTTATTTACTTCATGATTATTGAGGTTATGGTTAATGAATGATGCCATCTTAAGCATTTGGGGGACTTGTGTTTGAATCTACAGTCTACATGGTAGATAATAGATAAATATTTATACTTCATTTTAAGAGATGGGATGTTGGCCTAGAAATTTGCCAGCATATATTTTATTTAGTTTTGAAGCAACATTTCACTCTATTGCCCATGTTACCTAGACTGTCCTGGAACTCATAATTCTCCTGTTTCAGCCTTCCCAATAGTTGGAACAAGTAATTATTAGTCATATAATATTACTGTCTATGTTTTGGTTTCATCAAGAGAATTTGGTTCATCTTAAAGCTTTGATTATGAACCTGGAGTAATTGAAAAGGCAAGGTAAATGCCAGGACTGCTAGATGTAGTGAGGGGGAAATGTCTTGTCTTAATGGCTTGTAAAATGTTTGGGAGATCAACTCACATACAACACTTCCTTTCCCCCATGCAATGACTAGAAGCTTTGAGATTTATTAAGATGTTTGGAATATATAAATAGGAACCTCAGCTGGTGAGACAGTTTGGCAGGTAAAGGCACCTGGTACTTCCTGAGCACAGTGAGTTCCGTTTTCAGTACCCACGTGGCCAAAGGAGAGAACTGGTGCCTGCACATTTGTCCTCTGATCTCTATACGTGTGCCATATTGTGGATGTGTTTGCCCAGTCATAAAACACAAAATAAATAAATTTTCAAAATAAATAAATAAAAATCCATCAGGAATGACACCCAGTTTGGGGGCTGTTGGAGGCTTAGGAACAAATGAACACCAGGAGAAATCCTGATTTTCAATTCCCTGACCAAAAGCCTCAATTGAAATTGACTAAGATTGATATGGATTTTATGCTCTAAAAGTTCAAAGAATAAAAACAGCAGTGTGACTGAAGTAGCTGCGGATTCACTAAGAGTAAAGGCATTTTGACTATTGGTGTGTTTTCCCCTCCTTGGCAAGTGCACATTAGTACACTGCTTTCTTTTTTTTTTAACTTAGAAGCCTTTGAAATGCCATGTATCTTTTGAAACCTGAACACTCTACTGATCAACACCATACTACATAAGCAATGTGTCTATTTGGCTCCATTTGATTACAATCACAGATAAGCAGAGAAGACCCATTGAGTATGTACTTATACCCAGAACTTTGCTAGAGACATGAGAGGTAAATGAATCCACCCCAACCCCCACTCAAATGATTAACAGTCTTACTGAGAATTTAAGAATCATTTGCATTAGTAAAATTACATATAAAGCTAACTAAACATGAATAGTCTTAAGACTTCTTTTGGTCCAGTGTTATAGTCATTTTCATTTAGGTCAAGCACTCCAGGATACATGGATACTTTTAGCCTAAGAGGCTTCCTCAGATGGATTTGTAAAGTAATGGATCGGGGACTTGGGCACAGATTGGAGTTATCATTATAGAGAAGCAGATTGGACATGAATCAGTAAGATCAAATTTCAAGATGGGTGGGATTGAAGGAGAGAAGAAAATCATTATTCTTAACAGGAAAGGCTTGAAGGAAAGCACAAATTTGACAATGAATATGTCATAAAGGAAAAGACAACCATAAAACAGGTATGAGGGAAACTTACTTCTACTCTGTTGCCACTGATGGTCTACACAAATATGATGGGCAATTGAAATGCCTTAAAATAGAAGGGGGAGGGGATTCTTCCATCTGTGCTCAAACCTTTCATATCACTTATGTTATCCATAATGCCCAAGAGTAAATGACAAAGATATGATCCTTAAGCTTATCAATCCACATACAAAGTCTATATTTGTTAATGAGTTGAATAATTAGTCAATATTGTAGATATATGATATAGTTAAAAAAAGAAAGCATTGCTTTAGGAGTCAGAAAGAGTTGGATTCAAGTTGTTATTATGTCACTTAATTGCTGGCACATCTTATCTGACCTCTTTAATTCTGAGTTTCCACAAAAACAAGTGGTAATAATAACAGCAAACAGCAATACAAATGTCATGACTTGTCTTTGTGTTTGTTCCTGTTACTAGAGACGGAACCTGGAGTCTTACACTTTCTAGGCAAGGGCTCTACCGCTGAGTTATTATTCCACCCCATTCCTCTTTTTTGCTTTTAAATACTGAGACAGGGTCTCACTAAATTATCTTAAGCTTACTTTGTAGCTCGGAATGTCCTTGAACTTCCAATCTTCCTCCCTGAGTCTCAAGAGTAGCTATATTTATAAGCCTGCACCACCTGCCTGCATTATATTGGGTTTTGAAAATTAAATGGGGTAGAAATTGCAAAATCCCTGGTGCACAGAAGACGGTGTGCAAGGCAACAATATTATTAATTTTTATATTTGAACAGAATGTGTTTTTAAATTAACTAATGTTCACCTGATATTACAACTTAATTCATATACAACACAACTGTTGTATGTTAAAATAACACAAATATAGTATGTCACAGAAGTTTCAGTGTGTTTCATGGGAATTACTTTGCCAGCTGGTTTCTGTCTGTGGCAGCCAGAGAACACAGCTGAGATTAGGTGAATGGCTGTGTGGGAGAGGTGAGGCAGAGGGTGGACACTTTGTAACTGTGGGCTGAAACTTCTTGTGTGGACGCCCACAGGGGAAAGGTGGAGTTGTAGCTTCAGGCCACAGAATGAGTCTCCTGAGAACCTTCAAGTGCTCTCCTCGGCCTCTGTGTCACTGAAGTGCCGCCTCGCTGAACACCGCATAGGTCCTTATTTCAGTTCAATGGCACACGAATGCCTTTTCCTTTTTTGATATCATTTCACAAAGTAATATCCTCTAAGATGAGAAAGTGAAGTTCAAATGGTCGCACCAGGTGGTCTAAGAAAATCAGAACAAAAGTTGGCTTCAAAAAATCGAAAAGAAAAAGATAAAGGAAAAAAAGCATGTGATGAACTAGTCAGTGACTTAGTGGGAAAAATAAGTATAATTCTGGCAACTCGGCTCCTTTAATCTGTTCTTAATGTTCTTTATTATTGCTACTTTGTGGATAGTCACTATTATATTACTGTCATTATTCAAATGGCAATCACCCTCTCTTTCATCTGTGAATTTTTTTATATGATGCACCATTCTTATCCAGAAACTTTTTTTTCTGTTTACTTGTCTAGTTTTCCTGAATCACTGTGTGTAATTTGCCTGGAATGTATTGTTTTAGCGGGAAAAAAAATTCTTATTTACATCAATACAGGGACTATTACTGAAATTTTTTTTTCCTTGACAGAAAGGTAAAGCAGAGTCAACACTAATATGTAATTAGAAGTCTGGTCTAAATAATAACCATACATTATATAACAGTGAAATCTGTATCAAGAGAAATTCACTATAAATTATAGGAGGTCTGGGAAGCGCTTTCTTAATATCTGGGGCTGAGTGCACAGGTGCTTAGTTGAGCCTTAGTGGATAATACATTTACAACTCAAAACACACTAGAAAAACCCTAGTCATTCCCTATTCCATGTTGTAACAGTTTTCGTCAACACACACACACACACACACACACACACACACACACACACACGTACACGCACACACACACACACACACACACGTACACGCACACACACACGCACACACACACCTTGAATGGCCCCAGTGAATGATCTCTGTACAGCTCCCTTGATAATTATACAGCTAGTGCCAGGGCAATAATACCAATTCAAACCCATAAAGATCTTAAAGGTGAGGGTTTATATAAGGCTCATTTTTGTTTCTTACCAAAAAGAGCTATTAACATCTCCAAGAGGCACAGAGTACTTTGCTTTTATCAGTTTTTCCTAATGCTGACTCAGTACAGGACCTGAGAAGCCCCCGGAAAACTCACAAGCACCAAACACCCTTTCTCTTACCCACTCCCCCCCCCCCCCCCCCCCCCCCCCCCGCCTCCCCGCACTGAAATCCCTGCTGTTGGTGTTGCTATTTCAACTTAGTCTGTGGAGAAATACGGAAGGTATCACCACGATGGTGACAATTCCTGCTAGGAGAAGCCAGGCATCTTGCAAAGGGGGAGGGGGATAGAATGTGGACAGACTCAGTTAAATTCATGATCTTACCTTCTCCTGGTCACTCCAGGCTACAGTCCAGTCACTGTGCACTCAGAAAGAGAGGAAAGGAACCAGTATTTTTTTTCCCCCTACAAACCACACAAGCAAATGGTCTTTGAGTACTCAAGCACTTTTGGGCTTATCTCTCTGTTTTAATTATGATAGTAAAACAATAAAAATGAGATTTAATTTTAACTAACATTGGTGTGTCTGAGGCAGTAAGTAAAGGTGATAGGGTAGAAAAATATTAATCCAGGCTGGTTATTTAACATCTGCCTGAGCGTGAGGAGGACACTGTTGAACTACCTGCTCAGGACAATGAAACTCCTCAATTATGCTTTGGTCTATCGCCGCTTTCTCATTGTGGTTCTCAGTGTTCTCTTTTTATTGCCACTACCTCTCATCATCCGCACCAAGGTAAGTAAGTCTGGAGCACAGACTGGCACATTTCTTGAGCTATTTAGGTTGTCCTTCAGTATTGATAATGGTCTGGTTCAAAACTGAATGAACAGTAACAATCTATGCTTTGCTAACTATTACATTTGGTCTATTTTCTTTGTTTTTAATGGTTAGTCTTATTTGCTTCTCAGCATTATTAACTGGAATAATTAAACATAATGATCAATGAGAATTGTTCCCCACCTGTCAACTAGATGAAAGGAAGAACAAAAGAGACAGAGCCCTTTAGGTCTGATCTTTCAAGTTATCAACCTGTAAGGAGCACCATGGATAACAGTCCCTTCCCCTGAGAATAGGCAATAATAAATTTCTGTATAAAAGACTAACAGGGATGTCCAGTCTTGTGACATTGTGACAGGATGCTGTTGTCAGCTACAAATGTGTTGTGCTGTATTCTTAGTTATCCGAGGATACAGGAGGCCTGTGGGCTGCGAGTTAGACAGCCCTGGGCAGAACAAACAGCAGTGTAGGGTGTAGGGTCAGCCACAAAACTTCCCAGAAATTTAATTTCCTCCTGGAATAGCGACACCAAAACTGTGAAGTTGTTTTCCAGGTTAATCAGAAAATGTAATAAATCATCGTACCATGCTTTGATCATTTCAGATTTTAGCATACTTACTTCAGTGTGCTGATGACTATCTTTTCAGCTGGCTTTTTGAAAAGAATCAGTCTTTTAAGTCCAGAATATTAATCTCAATGAATTCCCCGTGTTTTGGTGACGTGATCTGAACTAGCAAACACTCAGCAAGCACCTCCTCTGTGCCAGACACACGTGTGATTTGGTGGTAGGAGAACAGGTGCTGGAGACAGGCTCTCTGCTTGAGATGCCGTATTTAGCATTTGCAAGCTGTGTGACCTGAACAACTTACATAACCTTCCTGTGCTTCTGTTTTCCCATGAGAGCAGAGTCACAGTGGGCTTGTTGTGAGGATGAAGTGAACAGTAAGCAGGGGACTCCACGTGTCCCTTGCTGTGTTGCCTGCCCAGGTAGGGTGATCCTTACCTCCTGTGTTGGGCGGTCCCTCTACTCAGTAGTAGAGAACCTACCTGATGCTCTTTTCTCATGAGTACCATTGGATTAATAAAACAGAGTAAGTAATTGCAATATCCTGGGTGCATCAGCTTCTCTCAGAAGTCTTAGCCACCTATTTGGAAATCTCTGAAGAAAGTTCATATGCAGTAATAGAGTATTTTATACTCAGCCAAGGCTCTCTTTACCTGCAAAGCCAGCAGAGCAACGACTGTTCCTGCTTCACAGCTGTGGGTGCTCCTCTGCCAGGCATGATCTTTCTATTGCAGCTTCCTACACTTAATTTCCACTCATGAGCATAGGCAGCTGTGTGGCACTGGTAGACAAACCAGATAACAGAACCGCCTCCCACACACAGAGCTCTAATTCAGCTCCTCCCCATTGCATTTGTAAGTCTGTCGGTCTATCTAGCGTACATAATAATCTCTTTTTAAGCCCCCTGATCTTACGACTCTCCAGATGTGGCAGAATCTTCTCATGGGCACATTTTGATTCACACATTGGTACTTGCCATATTTTAACATGTCTGCCTTTAACATTTCTCGACATAGGCCCTTAACTCATTGCAGAGAACACAGGAAATTAAACCAGAGTCAATCTTGTGCCATGGCTACACATCATCTGTGCTGTACTTCTGATGTACAAATGAATCTCACTCCATTTACCATCTATAATTTTAGGGGAAATAAATATGAGCTCACTGAGAAAGAAAACAAATACATAAATAAAAAGCAATAATATGAGTTCATGATTCACTAACTGGAAAGTGTGTTATTGCTAAGAAATGTACTCATTGATTTTTCTTTTCCAAACATGCAGTGATAAAATTATATTACATTTATACATTAGCCCAAGTACATTGAGTGCAAAGTGAAGAGCCCCATATCACACTGCCTTTATGAATGTATTCCTCTTTTGTTTCCTTCTAATCAACTCATTTGTTAAAATTCAATTAATGTTAATGAAAAAAATTTCCCAACAGTATTTCATTTTTTGGCTATTTTGAACAGATATTTTATCATTAACCAATTGCTAACTAAACTTAAAAGAGCATTATTTTAACTCTTGAAATGAAAGCAGGAAAAAAGGTATGAAATTTAATAGAGGCTTATATTGACAAGGATGTACATCAATTTGCTGTTAACATTTTGTTACTGAAGTGAGGAAGCCTACACTTGTAGAGACACAACAATAAGTTAATAGAAAAATCAAGCAAAACCAAGTCCAATTTGTCCTTTAAAAATACAATGAATCTATGTGACATAGAACCAAGAAGCAATGAAACACTGACTGATATTTTCATTCTTCTACTGGTTACTGGTGCTTTTAGGGACTGGCCTTGTCTCCTATCTCAATTCCATCTATAGCCAAGAAAGTGTCATCAACAAAGGGACCCTCAGAGAATTTTGAAGCAACGTTAAGAGGGAAAGAGAAAGGACATCTTTACAGCACACTCCTCTCTTCTAGGCGTTCTGCCAAATGCTTTGCTCAAATTGTCATATTTAACCTTCTAGCAAACCAACAGACGATGGCTGACATGCCAGCATTCTCATTTCACATTTGAAGGAATCTGTGCTCAGAGACACTGAATACAACAAAGGCTGAGAAACTTGTTTTGAACTTGGGTTTTGTCAAAACTCAGAATTCAAGTGTTAACAGGTGTTTCGGACTCTTCTCAATTTCGTGTTTTTGAAGGCTTATTCCCTGTGGATTGTTAATCATTTATCAACAGCTCAGGCAGTTCTAAACATGATAATGCTCCCAATAAGTCAAAGAGCAAAGGAGACTTATCCTAGCCATTTCCTTAATTAGCGTTATGCTATTTAGAGGCTTCAGGTAGAAAAATGTCATTGCATCCCAGCACTGGTGAAAGGTCTTTTGAGAAATGAAGCAATGAGCCCAGGGTGTGCCAGTTTCTGATGTCACAGAGTCCTGGCTGTATCACATGATTATGTCTGCTTGTTAGGTTATGGTGACCCTTTTCTTGGCAGTGCTCACTGAGTCATGGCACTGGACTGGTATCTTCATGCCGTTTTGTTGAAGAGAACTCGGGCCCATGTTTTTCAATGCTTTCACTGGAATGGTATTTTATAAGGGAGGAGATTGGGCCTTAATCCTGAAGCTTCTGGGCCTAAGTCAAATAGACGACCAGATTTAATTTTTAACCAATTGGGTATCACTATTATTCATTCACTCAAAGTTTTCAGATTAAAAATAAGAAAAAAAAATGTAAGGAGTTTGCCATAATCTGGTTGCTTGTGTTTCCAAATACTTGTCAGAGTCCATTGTCTGACAGCAATGTTAATTACAAGTGAATTTCTGCATCTCTATTACTTCTGTGTTGGTAAGAAGTTCAATTCCAATGCATTGCTGTAGATGCTCCTTTAGTAAATTATATCTTCTTATGAATCTGAAATACCAGAAACACTTCTAAATTCTCACCTAAACACAAAGGTACTCCCATTTCTTCCCCAATTAGTAGTCACCGATCAGTAAACAAACTTCGAATGCAACTGCTATTTATTTAAATTAAATAGTCACAGCAAATTTTTCTCACTTTAAAGGAGAAATTCCCTAAATATTCCCATACAGAAGTCTGTTAACACTGAACTAGGTGGTGTGCCACGGTTTCATTTATTTTCTCTATGTAACTGTATTCATTTATGACTATTTCTAGCCATTTGCTAATTTTAAACTCTTCAGTATGTGTTCAGTTTTATTTCCATTCTTATTTTTATAGTATTTTGGCTTTTCTTGCTATTACTATTTATGAAACAAACAAACAAAAAGATTAAAAGGAAGATCAGCTAAGGACATAGCTCAATCAGGGCAGTTCTTGTTTATCATCCATAAAATCCTGAGTTAAAGGCTCAGCATTTTTTATACAAGGTGTGGTAGTCCATGCCTATAATCCCAGTACTTGGGAAGTAGAGGCAGGAGGAGTAGAGGTCAAGGTTAAGACCAGCCCTGGCTTCACTAGATACTGTCTCTATAAATAAGTAAATAAATAAACAAGCCCAGATTGTTTGAGAAGCTGTAGGAAAAGCCCAAGCTACCATATATTATCCCACTGGGTGTATTTCTCCAAAGTATGCCTCACTCCATCCAGCTGATGCACTGGCTATTATTTTCACAATAAGGAGACAGGGAAACAATCATATGGGTACTGAGAAACATTTACTAGTTGATGGATTGTAAAATGCTGGTTACATTTCAGTTTTAGGTACTTCTGGCTTTTTTGTTTTTTTTGAAGAAATATTTTACAGCAAGATAGACTCAAAGGGAGAAGACAGTGGGAGGTCATGATACAAGTAGGAGCCCTACACCCACCCGTGTGTCCACTGATGCTTTCCCCTCCATCATTCTTCCATTCCCGAGGATGTTGTCTTTCCATCTAGACTTTCCATTCTCCGGTCTTGTTGTACTTTCATTGAGATGACAATCTCCATTTCTCCTTTTCATATATCATCTTTTCACACCCACTTTTCCAAATATCTCACCAGAGTACTGATTTCAAAATACCTGCTTGATCCAGTTATGATATCCAGTCAAGCATCTTTGACATTGGTGGAAAACAACTTCGACATGTGTCCTAATAACCTCCCAGATCCATCTTTCACAGTCACTATTTGCAGTCCCTAGAGTACCAGTGAGTATTCCTGACCCTTTCCCTTTGCACACGTTCTTCCTGGAATGCCCTTCTCCTTTGTCCTGCCCCCCTTGAGAAGACAGGCTCGGATTGATGCAAACTAAAAAGAATCATCATGGCTACTCTTCTTTTAAACATAGCTAAGTTGGCCCCTTTGTAGTGTGTATTCATGTGGCAGTTATCTTTCCTTTATAGACTGTAAGTGCTCTAACAGAACCATGCAGATTGCTAACCTGTGTCCTCTAGCCTCAAATACAGGGCTTGTCACACAGATAGTAG